AGATGGGTGTGTGGACTGGAGGGTATGTGGGGCGGCTGGGGCTGTGTGAGGGTGCTGAGAGGTGGGTATGGGGGCTGGGGTCCCCACAGCGGCAGCAGGGTAAAGGAGGTGGGGGCAAAAGACCCAAAGTCACATGTGGGTCGCAAACCTGGATTTCCTGGTGGTGCTTCAGGTCTCCAGAACTCTTCCTTGCTCTTAAATTCTTGGGGCCCAGAAGGGAGGGAGAGGTGCTGGAGTGTCTCTGCCCTGGGATGAAGCCTAGGGGACAACTCACAGCACAAGGTCCTGATATGGATGATGCCTGTGAGTGGCTGAGCTCTGGGGTGGCTGTTGCCTGTGGTTTCATGTGAGCCCGTGGCCCTTTGGAGCTGGCATCATCTGCCCACGCTCCAGATGAGGAAGCCGAGTCCCAGCAGGGGAAGCACATGTTGAGGTGGAGCCGCCCTGACTGGCGTCTCCTGATGTAAGGGGGGTGGGCTCTGGGCTCCTTGTTCTGGGTTTGGTGGAGGGAGTGACCAAGCCAGTGGGCCACCATTCTTTGGGTGCTATGTCCCCAGAGTGTCCCCCCATCGGGATGGAGTCCCACCGCATTGAGGACAACCAGATCCGGGCCTCCTCCATGCTGCGCCACGGCCTGGGGGCCCAGCGCGGCCGGCTCAACATTCAGGTGGGTGTTGGGATGGGCCCATCTTGCGGCTGAGCACGGGGCTCTTGCAACCGCTCATTCTCCCCACTGCCCCCAACAGGCCGGTGCCACCGAGGACGATTACTATGACGGGGCGTGGTGTGCTGAGGATGACGCTCAGACCCAGTGGATCGAGGTGGACACCAGAAGGACCACCAAGTTCACAGGTGTCATCACCCAGGGCCGTGACTCCAGCATCCAGTACGTGAGGGGTGGATGGGACATTCCAGGGGGCCATTTAGGGGCCCTGTCCCCAATCACTCCTCCGTGGCACGTAGTGGGCAGGGGAGCCACTCCCAGGGCCAGCTCAAGAACCATACAGCCCTGCTAGCTCTTAAGTTCTCAGGTCCGGAAGAAGGGGCTTCGGCTCCTGAGTGCCCGGGACCTGGGGCAGGGAAGGCAGCCTTGCTCTGACCGCCATCTGCTCCCCAGTGACGACTTTGTGACATCCTTCTTCGTGGGCTTCAGCAACGACAGCCAGACGTGGACGATGTACACCAACGGCTATGAAGAAATGGTGCGCACTCAAGCTGTCAGCTCTGCACCCACCATCTGGGCTGAGGGTGGGCTCTTGGCAGGGGTGGGGGGCTACTCTGAGGTCAGCCTCTCCCCAGACCTTCCATGGGAACGTGGACAAGGACACACCTGTGCTGAGCGAGCTCCCAGAGCCGGTGGTGGCCCGCTTCATCCGCGTCTACCCACTCACCTGGAACGGCAGCCTGTGCATGCGCCTGGAGGTGCTGGGGTGTCCTATGTCCCGTGAGTGCAGGGGGCCGGCAGGGCTCAGAGGGGTGGCTGGGGCCACCTGGGGGCTGGCTGGCACAGCTCAGGGCCCTGCCTGTCCCCCCCACCTCCCCCCGCAGCTGTCCACAGCTACTATACACAGAATGAGGTCGTGACCACTGACAACCTGGATTTCCGGCACCACAGCTACAAGGACATGCGGCAGGTGGGGTGCTTGTTCCCCGGCTCAGAGCTTGTGTCCAGTGCTCCCATCCCAGACACGCCCCCCTGAGAGGGCCGCCAGCCAGTGCTCAGCTGGGGGCCCCTCCCTCTGGCACTAGGACCGGAGAGGGGCTGGGGTTGCCTTCAGGGGCCACTCCTACCACAGAGGCTTTCCCCACCGTGCAGACCAGGACGGTAGAGAGGCCTGGCCCTCCCCGCAGCCTGGACCGCTTCCACGGGAGGTGGGTGGGGGGCTTCATAACTCCGTGTTCTCTCCCGAGCCCAGCTGATGAAGGTGGTGAACGAGGAGTGCCCCACTATCACCCGCACATACAGCTTGGGGAAGAGCTCACGCGGGCTCAAGATCTATGCCATGGAGATCTCGGACAACCCTGGGGATCACGAGCTGGGTGAGGGCCCCGTGGACCCCTGGAGGCCTGGCCCTCCCTGGCAGGGATTCGAGGCGAGGCTCTGGCACTGCAGCTGGGCCTTTGCCTGTCTTTGGAGCCTCTCTGGGGTCCCAGTGTGCCTTGCCGGGGCCAACAAGCGTCATCTGCCCCCATCCTACTGGGAGTGAGCCAGTCTGGGTCCTTCCTCAGATTCCCCGGGGCGTCAGGAGGCCCAGTGGTTGCTGAGGCTCCTGCTCTTGCAGGGGAGCCCGAGTTCAGATACACGGCCGGGATCCATGGCAACGAGGTGCTGGGCCGCGAGCTGCTGCTGCTCCTCATGCAGTACCTCTGCCGCGAGTACCGAGACGGGAATCCCCGTGTGCGCAGTCTGGTGCAGGACACACGCATCCACCTGGTACCCTCACTGAACCCGGATGGCTACGAGGTGGCAGCACAGATGGTAGGTGGGTGGGGCGGGGCGGTGGGGGCCAGAAGCTGTGTGGGCGGGTGGGGCAGCGAGGCGGGGCGGG